GGATGGTTATGGGTGGGTGCATACAACTGTGAGTGGGTACTGGTGGGTAGGGGTGAAAAGAAAATTTGGTTGGGTACGGTACAGGTGGTTAACAAAAGGTTTGGGTGTAGGTGGCCATGGGTAGTTTTGAAACAGAAAGTCCATGGGCAGTTATGGGCAGTCACAGTTTGAAGGGGCTCAGGTAGGCCAGGTACGGGTACACTTTTTTTTTTTTTTAGCAGGTAAGGATGGGTAAAGGTCCAGTAGGCCATCTATACAGTGGGTATGGGTGGTTAGTTTTCAAAGAGGGTATGGGTAGGTAAGGTACATGTATTCCAAAAAATCTCAGTTGCCACCTTTGCAATGGATATAGGCCTGTAGAGTTCATGTCTGCCAGAATGCCTTCAGAGAAGGTAGCGACATCCACCTATGAGAGAAAACTATACGCTCTCAGGCAAGCACTAGAGCACTGGAAACATTACCTGCTTGGGAGGCACTTTAATAGACCACAAAACACTAAGGTGGTTGAAGATACAGGCCAAGATGACACCTAAGCTTACTAGGTGGGCCCCAGAGTTAGACCAGTATGACTTTGAACTGAAGCCAGTTAAAGGGAAGTACAAAGTAGTAGCGGACGCTCTGAGTAGGAGAGCTGATTACTTTGGGGCAACAGTTCACTATCTGGATATAGGGAGCGACCTGCCGCAGAAATTTAGAGAAGCCTATGCACAGGACCCTATCTATAGTGACTTTCTAAAGAGAGTCAAAGAGTCCCCAGAGTCTGAACTAGACTACTGCACTACTGATGGCTTATTATTCGAGAAGACTAATGTAGTTGACCGCCTGTGCGTTCCTAACAGTGAGGAGATCCGTAGCCTGATCTTAGGGGAATGCCACGACACAGAGGGACACTTCCTCCTTGGCCGAAGCCAATTCCGATGGGTAACGGACAACAATCCGTTGGTCTTTTACAAGACCCAAGACACCGCCAACAGCACCATCACTCGACGGATGGCTTTCATCGACCAGTTTGACTTCTTTCCAGATCACATTCCGAGGAAGTCGAACCGTTTTGCGAATGTTTTTTTCACGGCGTCCGGATCATCTTACCACGGTCTACTCAACCGTCGAGATCGACAACGACCTGCGGAACAGCTTCATCCGTGGCTACCAAGCCGACCCCGAGTTTCGCGACAAGTATGCGAATTGCTCCTCTCCTAATCCGGCGCCTTCTCACTACCGGATCCAAGAGGGGTACTTGCTTGTCCACACGCAGGGGAAGGACCTTCTTTGCGTACCGCGTGATCCTCACTTGCGTACACGACTTCTTGGCGAGTTTCACGATGCTCCCACCACAGGACACTTTGGAGTCAATCGCACGATTGACCGACTTCGCGAGCGATTTTGGTGGCCCGGCCTTCTTGGCGACGTCACACAGTATTGCAAGTCATGCGAGGTTTGTCGACGCTACAAATCCCGCAACCATCGTCCGTATGGCGAGTTACGACCATTACCGGTCCCGTTGAGGCGAAGGGAAGCGATTGCCATGGACATTATCGGCCCGTTCCCCAAGCACAAGACCGGAGTGGATGGGATTTTCACGGTGGTCGACCGACTCACCAAGTTCGCCATGTTTTTGCCTTGCCGCTATCATGCCAAGGCACCGGAGCTGGCCAAGTTTCTTTACGCCGGTTGGATTCGAACCAAGGGTTACCCCAAGGAAATCGTCTGCAACCGCGACACTCGGTTCATGTCCAATTTTTGGTTGGCGCTCATCAAGTGATGGGGCTCATCTCTCAAGCCCAGTTCAGCTCGCCACCCCCAGACCGATGGCCAAACGGAGAGGGCGCACCATACCGCACAGGTTCTCCTTCGCACTCTCATCCATCATGGCCAGAAGGATTGGGTTGAGCGGCTGCCGGATGTCGAGTTGGCCTACAACTCCTCCATCCACCCGGCTATCGGGATGTCGCCCTTCGGCTCGCCGGTCACTTCACCGTTGGACACTATCACTTCACGAACGGCCGAGAGCGACGACCATCTTATTTTCTTGCGCCGGACGCAAGAGCTACTTGTCAAGGCACGCGACCAGATGGCAAGATGCAGCAACGCATGAGCCAGCAGGC